TGAGTATAACCCCCGCAAAAAAAAGAAGGAATATAAAAGAAAAATCTATTTACGCCCTTGAAGACAGCGGGCATTCTTGAACAGGTTATGATGTCCGATTTCCAACGTTATAAGTGAGCCGATCCCCGAGGCGGTGCGTTCTAACAGAAAGACTTCGCCAAGTCACTAGACTTGAACTATACCATACTAACTCGCATGCTATAACTGGTAATGTTGCTTACCCGCTGTTATGCAACCAATGCTGTCTCCCATTCATTTCGATACAAACATAGACTGCAAACGTTCTATAATTTTTTTTCCCGAAGTGCACGATAGATCGGAGAATCGACTGGCTTCCTTCAGCACACACAAAAAAGCGATGAATATACAGTTACGTGACGCTGTACACGCACACAACAATTCGCAAACATCTCCAGCTACACGTTCGATCAAAGATTTAGACTGCAGAAAAATTTCAAATTTAGTTACAGTATTGTGAGCTACAACGTCCATGTTAATATCAGCAGTTCAACATGCCCAAAACCACGACATAATTATGAGGCACACCGTGGTGAAGGGCTCTGAAATCTTTGACCATTTGGTGTTGTTTAACGTGCACTGGCATAACACAGTACGCGGACCATTAGAACTTTGGCAACAACTTTAGTGAGCAGTTGCGAAACTTGCATCCGGCAATCTGCAACCTCCCCTTTCGCAGCTGCCTGTATTTTATTGAAAGGTATACGGACAACGCATTTGAGACTAAAGAGACCGGAGAGCTTACGCTGATATGAATGTGCACGTCTCACGAGATAACTCCCAGCAAGATAAAAAAAAAGCGCTCGCTTTTAAAAAAATATTTCTGTTCGGACTGAATGTTTCAGCGAATTATTGGGTGACGCATGCACTCAACTTCCTTTCACGGCATTTAATTGCGAGTGTCTTTTTTTTTTGTTTCCGAACACGATGCGAAATGTGTAATTTATTTATTACCATTATTACCATTTATTTATCATTAGAGCTCTTGGTTTATGTTAGCCATGTAGACAGATTAATTGCCAACATCGATACAAGGGCAGTAACAGCGAATCGACTACGAGCGTGAACGACTGGTCGAAAGGATGGCGGTGACCACTGCGCTATTTCCCAGCATTCAAGCATCGTACAGGTTCGGACGAATTACTTGAACATAGACTATACAACACCCCCAAAATACGTGGCGCTGTCTTCCAGCTATATTATTTTGCTGCGGATGCTTTATTACGATTCAATGACTACTATACCGCGAGACAACCAACAAATACGATAACATGCTAGTAGCTGTAAAATACAAGATAACTGAAATACGGGGGGGGGGGGGGGGGGCAATGCGATCGCACTAGGCATGCACTTACGAAGATTATGTCTCAAAGTAAAAAATATAAAAGAGGCCGTTAATGCAATACGAAGCGTTTAGCGGGGCAAGTACCTACAAATTTCCATTTACACTTGCGTACAGCGCTTCGACATGTGCAAGAATTGTCGCGCACGTCAGGTGCTTGCGTAATGTGCGCGTCACAACGGCAGCAGAGACGATATGACCGGCGATCTCTCCACTGACGAAAGGTTAAAATATTCTTGAAGATGATGCGGTGTATGTATCAGTGTCATAACAGTCACTAGAAAAGAATGCAAGAAACTGGCAAGCTGCCACTTCCACGATAATGACAGCGAGACTAGCAAAAAAAAAAAAAGGACAATCACGGCATTACGCATGCACTTGGCGACATGACGCGCCAGTCCTCGGAGCAGCTGGGTCACCATTTACACGAGCGTTAAGATATGCGAGATCATAACACAGCGCATGGATATTACTATACAAGATTCTGGAGAGAAAGGGACCTGGAGACCGCGAGTGAGTGTGTAATTGGATTGGATAAACTTTTATTTGGTCCTCCAAAACACAGATCACTGTGTTGCGGGCAGCTCCCACGTGGGGACTGAAATGCCAAGCTCCTCAGCCGCCTCGCGGGCTTGGTGGACAGTTCAGAGCTGATCTGCCAAGGATGAGCTGCGGATTGCCGCCTCCCATCTGGCAGTGAGTGTGTAAAACCCGAGTCTTTCTGAACGAAACCAAAGTACGCGGGTAAAGACTATCAGCTGGGAAAAAGCCCTTTAGTGTGCATCGGTCAGTCCACGGCCGTCCATGAGGGCACTTGTGACGTCTGAGTACCTCGTTGTGCCCCCCCCCCCCCCCCCTCCGACACGGGGCCGTGTTTCGCAGGCCTGAAAGGGGGAAGGACACATCTCTCACTGCACCAGGATGTGGAGCAGAAAAAAATATATATATTGAAATGTCACAGACGCAAGACGTCCAATGTCGTCTTGCTCCAGCGCGAATGTCTCAGTCTGTCCCGGGAGAAGCGAGCGCCTCGACTGTACCACAATCGCATCTTAATTTCATTTTTTTGTTGTTTGATTGAAAACGCACAAAACAATGCGAGACGGCAGCCTACGCCAAAGTTACCGGAAGCTGCCAGAGTGCGCCTAAATTGACTCCGCAACGTGTTATCTCGCATGCTTCGATCATAAATATGTTTGCGTAGTTTGGTCTAATTCTTGTGCCCATAGATGTACCGCTACCTTAAACATAATGTGTCCCATCGAATTCGAAACTGTTCACAGGTGAATATGAGTAAGAAAAAGATATCGCCGGATGAGATAGTTAAGATCTGCTAACAAAGAAAGAAGTTGCGATTCACTATGGTGCCGAATTAGGAAAATGTCGTCGATGGACCGCTCATAGTAAAAGGAAATATTTTCAGTTTGCATAACATTTTGTTCAAGAAACCCTATAAATATGTTTGCGTAGTTCGGTCCGATTCTTGTGCCCATAGATGTACCGCTAAATTGAACATAATGTTTCCCATCAAATTCGAAACTGTTCACAGGTGAATATGTGAACGAAAAAGAAATCGCCGGATGAGCGTTGTTAAGATCTGCTAAGAAAGAAAGAAGTTGCGATTCACTATGGTGCCAGATTAGGAAAATGTCGTCGATGAACCGCTTATAGTAAAATGGCTTATATTCACAGTTTGCAAAAAATTTCGTTCAAGGAACCCCATAAATTTGTTTGCATTGATTGGTCCGATTCTTGTGCCCATAGATGTACCGCTAACTTGAACATAATGTGTCCCATCAAATTCGAAACTGTTCACAGGTGAATATGAGTACGAAAAGAAATCGCCAGATGAGCGTTAAGATCTGCTGAGAAAAAAAAAAAAAAGTGGCGATTCACTATGCTGCCGAATCAGGAAAATGTCGTCGATGGACAGCTTATAGTAAAATGACTTGTATTCACAGTTTGCGAAGCATTTTGTTCAAGGAACCCCATAAATATGTTTGCGTAGATTGGTCCGTTTCTTGTGTGTGTGTGATGCGCTTACTTAAGATTCTGCATCAGTTAAATTTGGTGTAAGCAACATTACGATCAACGTCAGGATCCTGGTTTCTCAAAGGGGTGCAATTCCCTGGTTACGATGCAAGAAGAAAACCTAGAAAGTTATTTCGGCGCCGCAGTGCGAATGGTTCGGGTCTATTACATCCAGTGTTTAAGGCTTCTTTACCGCCGCAGTAGATCAGGTGCGTTATGCTAATTCAAAAATCAGCTGCTTGGCCAAGAGCTATTCACGTTGTAAACAAGTGCAACAACTCAAACAAAATGGACTCACGGTTTAAAAAAAAATTGACCGCTTCCACACGTAAGTTTTCGGTAACTATAAATAACGCCACAAACAGGTGGAACATCGATTTGCATGTTGGAGTTGCGTTCTTCTGCTGGCGACACGAGGATTGCCAAGTGATTTTCGCAAGCATTGTTACGAACTGTTCGCCCTACTCTGCTGGGACGATTGCATCTGGCACCCGGCAGCTTTTATTTTGGACGCGGGGTTAATTGCAGTCCGTCACCAAGGTTAAGTTAGACATTTGGACATTGTCGTACCTGGCACCTTAACGCGATTTACTTTCTAAGCGCGCTATGTTCATCGCGACGACGAACGTTAGAGTAAGCTTCTCGACGGCTCCGTCGACAAACGACCAGGTAGTGCCGTCAATTTCGCAACCGGGAAGCCAGTAAAACAAGGAGACGCCGAGGGTGCCACGAGAGCAGTTCAACAAGCAAAAAGAAAACTTGCCCCTCGAATTATTCTAAGACTTGAACCGCAGCCAGACCTGGGACAGACGCGTTAAAGTTTAAAAAAAGGACGCGCGCTCTGCTCGTTCTCGGCGCACACTTAAAATCCACGAGGTATCAATATCACGACGCAACGTTCTCGTCTAAGTGGTGGGAAAGGATTGAGCAGCCAGCGACTCGACTAGAGCATGTTCAATAGGGTTCGCAATCCATGCCGGTGTGATTACGAGGCTCGCGATCAGATACGAACACTTCAGCAGCCCGCTAGCTGGAAATCACAACCGCAAACGATATTAGAACGACGAAGGCGTTTCACTGCCGCACTACTGGGCACCGGCTGTTTCACGGGTGCTGCACCGGCTAAGTCAACATTGAGCTAGAACAACAAAACCTAATTGCCGAGTATATATAACAACAAGCGAGGTAAAATGGAGCACGGGAGCGCTTTCCTGTGCCCCGCTACGAGTAGCAAATAACGTAGCGACAGAAACTCGTCGGTTTCCACGGTTAGAAATTTACGCGCGCTCGGTGGAGTGGCATAAACACGGGTTCACCTACCGAAAAGGAGAACCTCGAGCGATTGTCCCGTTGTGCCTGCGGTCCTCGGAGGCGACAACGACTCAGCGGACGTCCTTATCCTCGCGTGACACCAGTTTTATGGGACCGGCGACCCAGGGCACACCGTCGGAGGACCAGCGAAGACCGACCACATGGCAATCACGATGCACTTGTTGCTGCTGCAGCGGGCGGCTGTTACCCGCCTGGAAACCGGAACGCGAACCCTGGTGTGGAGAATCTGTATTTTACGGGAACGAGAGTACAATTGTTGTTCGTGGTAGTCGCTAGGCGTCATTGCTGTAGCAGCCGTCAACCAAAATGGCGCTGGACGATCCTACTGCCAGTCTTCAGAACTATCAAGTTCAGCTTCAGCAGGTATTATAGCGTGAAAATGGTGTTCCCGCGCCTTATTCTCACCGCTGAAGCTTCAGTGGTTGTGTATATGTGTTGCTGCTGTGCTATATTTATCATAAATGTTTACTTCGTAGCATCTATCTACTGTACGCTAACACTAAAGACCTGGGACGACAATCATTGCTGCGTTAACGTACAAAAAGGAAAAAAAAAAGAAAACATAATAATAAACGTTATCTGTATTTTTCGCTGTAGTAGCGGCCGTACTTAACGTGTTTTATATGTATAGTGACGCGTATTGAGATGAACCGAATGCAGCATTCGAAATATAGATTGAAAACATGGACGATCCAAGACTTGCAACGCATCAGCAGTTAAAAAAAAGCAGTAGCGTGTTGTAGTGGTCCTCTTGGAATATTCAATAATATTTAAGGTTAAGGCCTTTAGGAAAAGCCGTCATACTGACCTAATTTTCGTGGATTTACGTGCCAAAAGAAATAGATTACGAGGCACGTACGCCGTGATGGAAAGGGTGCGCCATACTGATTTTAAAAACCTGGAGTTCTTTGACGTGCATCTAAATCAAATTACAGTGGTCTTACTGCATTTCGTTCTCACCGAAATGTTGCAGACGTGATTGGGAGTCGAACCAGCGCCCTCAAGCTCAGCAGCGCGAGACTTTACCTGCTAAGCCACCACGAAGGATATGAAACCAATTTTAATAATCCTGTTAGTTGAGACACGCCAGTGGCCGCAGTGTTGAAAATTACCACACATGTAGCAGTAAAGCCGCTGTTAATAACATACTTCGTGATTGATGTAATTCATCACGAGCCGTTACGTGTGGAATACGGTGTTGATGTGATCACATATGTTCTCAAATGCGACTTCTGCTGTTCCAGGTGGAAGCTGCGCTCACAAACGACCCGGATGACAAGGATTTGTTGAAACTAAAGGAGGACCTGCTTGTAAGTGGCACCTATTAATCGCATCTTCACTGTCGCTGTTCTGTGGCTAATGTGAAATTGTCGTTTCTCTCTCATCACCTTGCTCCCATAACAGGAAGTTATAAGCCTGACATTGAATTTGATCAGCACAAGCTCAGAAGAACAGTCAGAGAAACAAGGATCTGGCGAGAGTTCGAAACGCTCAGGAGGAGAAGCCTCAGGGTCCAAGGACGACGATGTCGGCTGGTTTCCTGGGGACAAGTGCCTAGCTTTGTGGAAAGATGGACAGTAAGTCGTTTCTCTTGTTTCACTCAAAATGAATGCGGAAACATCTACTAGATTTATACTAATACCATAGTCTTTGGAAACCCTGTCTGGAAATCTTTGCAGTGTTTAAAAATTCTGTCTGGGAATTCTTGTGGTAGGAAGAGGACTAATTGTGAATAAAATTTAATACATTCCAGTGATTTGTGGCAGAGCTTCTGTGCTAACATGCCAATGTGAATCTGCGGATTTTAAAGATTCATCGTTTTAATGCGATAGTGTCTTTAAAAGCCCATGTGCTAGAAAACATATTGTTGGCATTGACGGTGTCGTGTGTAGGTTAAAAATCCTGATGGATCTCAAAGAATAAAAACCACCCTTAATGATGAAGGCTAAGAGTCTCAAGAATTTTCGGCCATTGTAGCTTACAAAAAAATTTTGAAAGTCCCATAAGTAATCTTCTGGGTTTTTCAAGAGTTTGTTATGAAAACCGTCATGTTAAACCAAGACGGAAAACCAAATTGGACACAGTGGTGAAGGGGGTAATGAAAAGGCAGCACCACCAGATCTCCCTTCACAATAGCTGGAGAAAAAGAAGGGAGATACATGTGTTAGCGATAGATCTGTTGCTATGCATAGTAGGGAATTTAATTTCTTTGGATCTTTTTTCGTTTAAAGGCTTTTTGTCATCATTTTTTTTGTCAGTCTTATTGTGTGTTTTCCAATGGGTATGTTAGGCGTAGTGGCTTAGGTACTCGGCTATGAGTATGTTAGGCGTAGTGGCTTAGGTACTCGGCTGCTGACCCGCAGGTTGGGGATCGAATCCCGGCTGCGGCGGCTGTATTTCTAATGGAGGCAGAAATGTTGTAGGCCGTGTGCTCAGATTTGAGTGCACGTTAAAGAACCCCAGGTGGTCGAAATTTTCGGAGCCCTCCACTACGGCGTCTTTCATAATCATATGGTGGTTTCGGGACGTTAAACCCCACAAAGCAAGAGTATGTTAGGCAATGTGTGCACGCATAGTTGCTACAGTTATATATGTCGCTGAATTTCTGAGAATAAAGTTGGTTGCGAGCGACGCCCTTTCCCTTCTGCCCTTAATTTTTCTTCCTCGGAAATTTGCATATTTTTGTATTTCAGCAAGCTGGAGTAGTTTTGGAAGTTCAGTTTATAATTGAAGCACACCGTGCCTTCTGGAGTGCCATTAAAGAAACCAGATTTGTTATAAAGTAATGTCTAGTCCTCCACGTGGGCCTTTTTTTTTTATATATATATAGGCTGCTGTGCAGCTTCAAAACTGGAACCTGCAAACACGTTTTAGGTGCGAAGCGCCAAAGAAGTGTCGCCGTCTCTTGTTGTTGCAATGTGTCATGTAGTCAGGGCTCACCATGAAGTCAACTTCACGTGACGACGTCATCCTGTCATGACATCGTGGCCACACGAAGTGGACGAAATTCGCAATGCAATGATGGCATGGTGAAGCAGCTTAAGGTCTTGGCTCGTCAGCGTTTACTCTCGTCATAATGTGTCATGCAGTCATGGTCCATCATAAAAACCTGTACGCACCAGGAAAATTGGGTAAATCACACTAATCGTCTCCAGTCCTTTAAAAATGAAGGAAGCTACAGTTAGGCCAACAAATAGCGGTGTCAGTGGAGCGGGAACACCCTTCCCAACATGCTTTGCTTCTCCCCGGTTCATTTAGTGCTAGTTGCTGTACTCACAGCGGCTGCAACAGTAGTAGGAGTAGCATAACTGTAGCAAGCACCTTCAGTAACGCAAGTTGACTGATTAGCCCATCTTAGACTTCACACCTTGAATTTTTCAAAAAAAAAAAAAAAAAAAGCAGGGGGGGAATAGGCAACCATTTGTTTGTGGCATGAAGCCACAAGGAAACCAGTACAGATTTCTCCAAAAGAAAAGTTTATTTGTGACTTCATGTCTCAGACGGGGCGTTGTCTTTTTTTTTTCCCCTTCTTGACCCTTCCGCCACCTTGCGGGTCTCTGCGGAACTCATTTGCATTACTAGTGAATTCCTTGCACGTGTCGCAGGTACTACGATGCCACCATCGATGACATCATTGGCGAAGGGCAAGCTACGGTCACCTTCACAGCTTACGGGAACACAATCATCCAGAAGGTAAGCCCCCAGCTGTGAGTGCCCGATCGAGTTGGCTGCTTACTGTGTGCAACATAGTGGCGCCACCCCCGAGTCCCCGACTTACTTTTCCTCGATACTGAGTGGTTGTCATCTGGACTGTCTCTTCTTTCATTTTTCAAATAACAAAGAGCCCACGCCATCCAAGAGAGCGAGCGAGGGGGATAATGTAGGCACGTGACACGCCGGCTTTAGCAATGGAGCTGAGGAAACAAACGTGTAGGTATCCACCCCATAGAGAAATTTATTTAGAAAAAAACGCAGCAGAGGCCGTTGTTTTCGTTTTTTCCTTCTGCACACTGTGGAACTCTGTGACTGGTGGTGTTTTGGTTCATTTTGCTTCTTGCAGTATGCGGCCGCAAGATGGGTTTATAAAAATGTAGGGCAAAATGTAGCAATTGGTAAGACTTTTTCATTCTACATAATTAGCGGTCGATTGCGCATGTGCAGTTGAACCTCGTTTTAACCTACTGTGGCATTGGCTATGGAAAGTATTTATCAATGTTTTTTGTTAAGATGGCTAAAAAAACTGTGTAAGCAAGTTCATGAGCAGTAAATGGTGGGAGCACCCAATAAAACTCCTTGAACTGCAGTGATGCTTCTGTAATTTTTCATTCTTTAATAACAGGGCTTTCCCTCGTTGAGGTGTGGTATCGAAAGCTGGGTATGCATGTGATAATGTTGCTCTAGAATTTAAGGTTGCTTAACCCGTTTAGGATTAAACTTTCTACGAAATTCACTCTAATAATGTAAAATCTTTTTATTACTCAATTAAATTCTGCAGACATTTTATTAAAAGCAGGAAAGTTGGCTTAAAATTTTTTTCCTGACTGCAAAGTGATGAAATGATCATTTTTGTTTTTACATACACATGGTTTACTTGTGAGTGACATCAACACATGGTTTACTTGTGAGTGACATCAAGCGAAATCTTAAACACACTTATAAAGTTACGCATTGTAGTTAACATAGCTCACAGACATTAAAAAGTAAGCAGACCAGAGTACTTCTTTGATAAAATACTATGTTTTCGCTCTAACACTGAAAACTGCGAAATAGTCACCTTTGATCTAGTCTGTACTATCTCTCTGCGCATGCTTTCGAGATGTTGGTTTATTATCATCCTAGTCTGAACTAACTCTTAAGTAAACTCTTCTCTGATCAACTGACATACAATGAATCAGATTCTGATCTGGCACTCGGGGAATAGTCCACATAGGAAAAATAGCGGCTCGATTCATTTACAGTAGAACAACCAGCACTCACCTCCGTGGCATAGGTGAACTGCATGAGTGAGCACGCTAAAGAAAGCTGTATGGTTGTGCGCTCGTCCAGAAAGTAAACGGAGCGAAAGGAGTTATAATAATAGGAAATGAAAGCATAGCATCATCGTTTGTGTAATTTAGCACTTCACTGAAACATATGTAATCACACTCTGGGGAGTGATAAATGAGAGTGTAACAAGTGGTCAATCAGACAGCCATAAGCTTTGCGTTCACGAAAAGTGATAACCACTTAAAGGACAAAACTGAAACACCGAGTTTGTGTGTTCAGATGCACAGGTGAAAGCCAGCACGCCTCTTTGGGAAGAAAAAAAAAAGAACAGATAGCCATTGGTATGTGAAAAAAATTCTACGTATTCTCGAAGCTTGCCAGCACATGCCAAGGAAAAAGAATGACCATAAGAAGGCACGTGAATTAAACCAACTGTACTGCAGGTGCGCTCGAATGCGCAAGTGATAGCTACCTCGTCATTTTGGAAAAAAAAAAAAAACAAGAGCAGAGAGACATTGGCACATAAATAGAATTCCCAAAGTGTGTCCGCACCTGCCAAGCAAGAGAGATGATTGAAAAAGGTGCATTTTCAACCGGCCACACCACGGGCTTGTTCAAATGCACAAGCAACAGCCAGCGCCCTGCTTTGGAAAGAAAAATACAATGACGAAGAGACATTGGCCTATGAAAAAAATTCCACACATCCCAGTAGTGTGGCAGCACACGCCAATAAGAAAAGTGATTGATAAAGGCACGCGTTTTAAATATACAAGCAATGCTGTGGCCCGTACATCTACGTAAAAATTCCTCAGACGGTTAAAGTGAAGGTGGGGTAATTTGTGATATGTCTCCTAGCTCAATTCACATATGACAGTTGCACCAATTGGCATTGGTTTCTTTCAATAATTCGCACGGTCCCTCTTTATAATTACGCTTACAGCTACGACAGACAATTTACAGTCACTCGCGGTTGGAGCGAAAATATGGTATTTACTCGCATAATTTGCACACACACACACAAAAAGTTTTCTCGCATTTTGTGTTTCCCGTAGCAGCCGAACCAGCTCGGGCACGATGATACTTTTGGACCTTTGGATTGTTTGTACAGGCACACCAGGCGCGCGCCTTGCTAAGCAGGCGAGCGCTGTCAAAAGGGCTGTGAAGGTAAAGTCTCTTCTTCCCAGGGCTTCCTCTGTGCTAGGGCCCCTGAAATACCGCGCCTGAACACCCAAACCACTTCACGGGTCACCGTAACTGCTCGAACGTTTCCCCATCCTTACTGCTGTTAGAATGCACTCTCGCATCGCGGCATGGACAACTTTCTGCATCGGAGGCTTGCAAGGGCCTGTCGACTTTGCGTTCGGTTCATTTTGGAAGTTTAGGTTTCACCATCCGTGTCAATTGCGTTTTTATTGTTCCCTACTGTTAATTACATGTACAGCGAGATCCAAGCTCGCTAATTACATGTACGGCGAAATTCAAGCTTGCTGTTTTAATGTTTGTCGAAGGAAACGCGAACCGTGCCGCCGCCAAGCACTTAAGCGTGAAGTTCTTTAATGTGTGACAATTGGCACTATCAGTGCGGGAGAAAGCAGAAAAGTGCACGCTTGCTGATACAAGTTTCCTGTTCATGAAGAAGGCCTTTTTCAATTATGTGCAAATGCTTAGGTCTTTTGGCATCGCCGTGTCGTGGGACATAGTTCTCCCCAGCATATGTGGCAAAGAGCTTCAAGAAAATGGGGCATTCAAACGCTTCAATGTGCTCTGGAAGGGCAGTGACAGCGGCCGCGACGTTGATTCTTTATTGGACCTCTTGATCAGTGATTCTGACCAGAGCGCGCGTGACCGAATCTGACTGGTTAAAGTGTCTGCCAATTCTGTTAAATAAACAAGGGACTTCGTTCGTGCTCCAATTTATTTTCTCTTATGTTAATGTATATACTGTGCATGCTAGGGCACATTATAGGCACATTATTACTAATGCATTCGCGAAATCACCGTATAATTTGCGCATTCCTTTCTCGGAGCCCCGAAATTGCAAAAAAAAGTGTGGAAATTATGGGAGTAAATATAGTTTTAGCATTTTGTTCTAATAAGGTAGAGAGTCTTGGCACCCCATTTCATGTTTTTTATAAGCTAAAGAATATGTGGCATGGATTGGTTGCAATAAGCAGCCTTATATCTGAGAATTATCTAGTTCCAAAGATAGCTGCCCCAGGAGGCAGGTTGTTGAAAGTAAATGGAGGCACACACAGTTGTGAGGTTAGAACTCGCATGCTCTTATGACGGTGCAAAAGCTGTTCGGATGGGCTCATGATGAAGCGTTTTGCAGCTTACAAGCAGACTGGCATGCATCTTTAACGCTGTTTTTAATCAGTAGTAGACTGATGCAACAATTAGAAAAAGAGACGTAATGGCAAATGACGTAAAGAGAGACGTAATGGCAAATTAGGGAATTTTTCTTTCGTGGATTCAATTTTACAGGGAAAGCTGTCATGAGATCACAACTTGGGTCTGTTGCAGCGCTGTGGTTTTCCACCGCCGCCAATGACCATAACCACATCGCACGAAATTAGAAAAAAAAAAAAAAAAATGCTAGTACCAATGGCAATCCCAGGTCTGCTGGGTGCCAGCCCAGTGTGGCCCAGCACTGAGCCGCGCTGGCGTTTAGGACTTGCCTTAGGCACGCTTGATGCCAGGAAAGCAATCGCATTAATTCGACTTATAAAATACTTTAAAACACCGAAAGAACAAGCAGTCGTCGCACAATGAAAATAGCGTAACGAGTGGGTGGTCCAATGCTCCAACCCATTACAAAAGCTTGTTTTTGTTCCGCTATTAACTGTGGCGCATACCCGCTTTAGACATAATTCCTCATCGTCGTCAGCCACTGCATGAACAATTGGCACGAAATTCCTCACAATGGTTTAGCGAATACCACGTTTCTCAGAAGAATGATGAAAAATAGCATAGGGAATGTGAGCCTACTGCCATAAAACTTTTATTATTAATGCCGTAGTGGGCATCAAGCAAGTTTTCTTGCAGCAGTTACCCGATGAGTGTTCAGAAAAGGCTCTGAAAGGCTGCTCTTCTTGCTTTCGCTGCGACTGTGCTGCGCCTTCCGCACAGGCCTTGCGTCTTTTATGCGACCGTCGCGCATCCAGTGCATGCCACACAACCATGGCACTTCATGCCAAGGTCAAGATGATAATTACGCAGGCGTTTTGTTAAAGGGACACTAAAGGCAAATATAAATTTAGTTCAGAGTGAGAACTCAATGCATGACAGCGTCGAAAACGACAATATTGCCAACAGCCGTGCCCTACTCACCGAGAAATAAAGTAAATGCACGAGGACACATGTGCCACGAGTAGGACACTCGCTAAATAATCCCTATGCCATTATAGTTTCCACCTACAAGTACTCGCTAGTAGTCGAACTAGCTGCACTAAAAAAAGAACCTTATTAAAAAATAAGCACTTGCTTGGCACAAAAGTAGCACTACGAGGATTCTGGACTGCTATTTCAGCACTCAACATCGACGTAATGCCTTTAGTGTCCCTTTTAGAGTGAATGGAATCTGCTGATTGAACTGCAGCAATACAATTATCACTCAATGTTGGGAGAGCCCTGTTTTAATATCTTCTTATGCCAGGAATGTGAAACTATGCTTTGTAACTCATGTGTAAGCTCTGCTCCTGTGCTTGTCTACACGTGTTAGTGTCACCTTTTCCCCATGTAGCAACATTACATTGTATGTTGCTTTATTGATTTTATTGCTAGATACTAAAGTTACTGCTACTGAATAAATTCGAGCTTTGTTTTTCATAGAATTTGCCACGTGAGTTTTCATTGCGAGATTCAACTGCACTATTCATTGTTGTTGTTAACTATGTAAAATTAGTAGCCCCATTATGCCAGAATGAATAGTCATATTGTCAGGATTGCTGGTTTATGTTTTGGGCTTTTAAATAACAAAGGAACTTCAACATTGAACTCCCTTTACAGGAAGCGGCATTAAAATTTATTTACCACGTACAGTGTAGCATACACAGCTTGTGTTCATCTGTAGAAATAATGGCACTTTTGGGCTAAAACGGGGAACTGAAGTTTTGCTACGTTGATGTAAAAGACGGGTTATTAAAATCAAGAGGGGGTAAAAAGGTCATCAGTTTCTCAAGCTTACCTTTGAACCTGAAGAAAGCATTAACTATTATTTCCTTTTATGTGAGAACCTGCAAGTTCAAATGAGTGCATACATGTCAGCAATATTAGTTGCTTTGTAAGTTGATGTAGGAAACAAACTACATGCATTTCTCTCACCGATAACCTGCTACATTTCGAATCTAGTTCGGCAATTCGTTTTGACAGTGTTTCTCCAGCAATGAATGCCATCTCATGCAACCTTGGTTTCTCCCAGCTCTCTCAACTGAAAGCCCACAAAAACAAGCGGTCTATGAACAATGTCATCGAAGGAGGACCAAAAACCAAGTAAGAATATTTTTGTGAAATTTTCATTGCCTGCTAGATGTGTGTTTGAGAAGGCGTCCAGCTTCTTAGAAATAACGCCTACTGCAATGGCTCGGTGCCTACGTCGTTCTGCTGAGCACAAGGTACAGTAGCTTGTTCAGTTTGCTTCAGTGTCGCTGTGGAGAATGCAAGAAGTCCATGCACTTAGATATATGTCATAATAAACTGATGTTTGCTTTCTAAATTACCTAAAAATCTGTCACAAAGCTGATGAACTAAGCAGTTTATCTCAGTTGAAGGGGAAATTAACAAAACAAAAGAGGCCCGGATGTTGTTCCTAAAGTTTGAAGTTCAGCTATCACGGTGTGTTTTCTCCCTTCGCATGGATGATCAACCTTCCGGAGCAGACCAATGTGTGCTTTGAACTTGCATAGATTGCGTGACAGCAATTGCACACTTGGGTCAAACACTAGGTGCCTAGGATAGTTAGGTCTTGCTTGGGAACTCCCACTTGCGTTCCACTTGTGAAGGGATGGCAGTTGGTTGCCCCGTGCCTTCGAATGAAGAAGTTCTCGGCCTTTTATCCAATAGCGACGTCAGTGCGGGCTCTGACAAGGACGGCGATTGCTGGAGGCAGTCTTCAGAAGACGACAAACAGCCTCGACAGCAGTATGGCATCCTACACATCCTCAAGCACTTGCGATTCGCCTTCAGCGAAGATCAAAGAATTGGCCCAATCTGAGAACGACACCAAGAAAAAAAGTGAGGTAACATCGTTTTTGGGGATCACCAGGACTGTAGTGGGCAGGGCATTCTATTGTACACAACTGTAGTTCTTTGGGCTCAGGAGAAGGGCCCTGCAATCTGGTGTAAAACTTGGCAATTGCATTTCCAAAGAAGGAGAATGTGTGTTATTGGATCTAAGGCAGCAATTACACTGGCGACTGAAAGAGGTTATGCAATTAAGTGACCATCTGACTGGCTCTTCAGCTGTACGTACGATTTGTATCCCAAAGTTGGTGAACTATTCGGCAATACAAAGTCGGGATGTCAGAACAGGTTGAAGATTATTTGATGTGGCCACACCTGTGCGAGCAATGCCAAATGCGAGACACAGATTTAAACCGTGAAAATCGTGGTATGGTGGCCAGCAAGTTGCCAGTAGTTACTCATTTGTTAGTCTCCGACTTCCATTGGTCACCGGTGCGAATGCTGCCTCTTCAAGTTCCATTTCCTACTTTTTTAGTAAAAACCGCAGTGTATATTGCCACTGTATATTTTGATTACCTAGGTGAAATGTCACTTTACTTCTTTAGGCACTATTCATTGTGGTTCATTGGAAGCTCTTTTTTTTATTTCGTGTGTTGCATATCAAGAATCTGGAAATGCGTAAAGCATCGGAACAGGTTGCACATTCTGGCTGTTATGGAAGTTTCAATTAAATTTACAGGATTGGGGCTCCACATGGTGACTTTCTAAGGTAATGTCAGATATGAGAACACCAGCTGTATCAGGTTTAGCGAGCACGTTTGCAGAACATCCATTGGAATCTCGCAAAAAACCACCTGCTGCTGGCAGTGAGCTGCTGTGAACATTGTTCCTTGCATTAGTTTTATACTGATCACACCCCACAGGTAATTGCCAGGCAGATAAAAGAATCACTCATGCATTAAGACTTGCCATGACTTATTATTAATAGTGTAACTGCACATTTCTATCTATTATCACTTCAGCATGTTTCGAGGGAAAAAAAAAAGCCAGCCCTGCACGGAAGGCACAGTGCAGTCACAGCGAAAGCTAGAAGAGTGGCCTTCCAGAGCTTCTTCTAAACATTTATTGGGTAACTGCTGCGCCCCGCCGCGGTGGTCTAGTGGCTAAGGTACTCGGCTGCTGACTCGCAGGTCGCGGGTTCAAATCCCGGCTGCGGCGGCTGCATTTCCGATGGAGGCGGAAATGTTGTAGGCCCGTGTGCTCAGATTTGGGTGCACGTTAAAGAATCCCAGGTGGTCTAAATTTCCGGAGCCCTCCACTACGGCGTCTCTCATAATCATCTGGTGGTTTTGGGACGTTAAACCCCACATATCAATCAATGGGTAACTGCTGCAAGCCCACTTGCTTGATGCCCACTATGGCATTCATAATAAAAATTTTAGTGTAGTCATCCAGCATTCGCTTTGCTATTTTGTCATTCTTTTGAGAAGCGTGGTATCCACTAAACTATTGCGAGTAATTTTGTGCCAATTGTTCATGCTGTGGCCTACGACAATGAGAAATCATAGGCCTGAAGTGGGTTTGCGCCACAGTTAATGGGTAAACAAGAACAAGCTTTTGTAATGGGTTGGAGCATTGGACGACCCATTCGTTACACTATTCACATTGTGTGACAACTGCTTGTCCTTTTGCTGTTTTAAAACGTTTTATAAGTCGGATTAACGCGATGGCTTTCCAAACATCAAGCCTGGCTGAGGCAAGTTCGCCAACAAGTCCCAAGCACCGGCATGGCTCAGTGGTAGAACACTGGGCTGGCACCTAGCAGACCAGAGTTTGAGTCCGACTGTGTCATTGGTACTAGGTTTTTTTGCTAATTTTGCACGATGTGGTTACGGACATCAGCGGCGGCCGCAGTCAACTGCGGCGCTGCTCGGGACCCTAGTTGTGATCTCATAGCTGCTTTTGCTGTAAAATTGGCATTTTCAAAGGGAGGTACTATTTCTCAGCTTGTTCACTTTAAGCTTAGGCAGGCATTACAGCCGCTCTGGTCATAATTAGGGCTGTTATTGATATACAGTGGAACTTCGATTTTACGACTTTCAGGGGACCACGCAAAATCGTCGTATAATCCGGGCGTCGTATAATCGAAAAACCAAGAATATAGGCACTGATGGTCGTTGTTGCCCCACAACAGTTGTCACATAATGCGTAAGAAAGTCCGCGGCACAAATCTACGCTGCTCCGATGAAGCTAGATTAAATTACTTGAAAAAATGACAACCACGCATTTTATTGGAGGTGTGAACAAATCTTTATTCTTACCTTTTAAAAAAATCTGTGATTTTTTTCTGCGAGTTTGCCCTGCCACGATGCATCAGCTTTCTTTCGAGAACTGCGACATCTGGCAGCAGCAAGTCGCCGATCTCGTCGCGTGCGCAAGCAAACCGCCGAATGTTGACGTAGCACAACACGTCCGCGTACGTCAGAACGGACGCACTAGCCTCTGCTTTTCTCCAAGCGTCAGCGGTTTTCGGTTCCGCGACATTGCGAGACGCAGCACTTGCAACCAAGAATTCTAAAGCTTCCTCGCACACCAATGTCCGAATACTGAAAATTTTGCACGTAGACGCAGCAGCTGCGGCGGACAACCCACCGATGAGGCAAACACGTGAAGGAAACGAAAATGGCTGAAAGGCAACGAGGCAGTGGGCCCATTCGATTTTTGCAGGCGCGTACATCTGCGCAAGCTTCGACCAATCGCGAGGGGCTAAAACTCCCCAGCCCTCTGGTAGATAGACAGCAGCTGGTTCCGGTTCCCGCGGCTGTCCCAAACGTAGACAAGCTCAACAATCGCCGTTCAACACGTCCGGTACAACGACGCGAAATCTAGTGAAAGTTATCGCATACTAGAAAGTGAGCTCGAAATTATCTGCCATGTTACCTGCACACAGCTGTCACTATCAAACCACCCAAAAGAAAGCAGAAAACAAAACAAAGAGAAGGCCCCAACGGAAGTGCGCAGTGCAATGCGACTAAGTAAAACGAATGCGCTCCGGCTGGCTCTGGACTACGTTGGCTCTGGCTAGTTATGGCCGACAGTGTGTCGAAAAATTGAAGAGGCCCTGTGGTGGCAGCGCGGATAGTGTGCTAGAACGTGCGGCGAAACGTACTCTGTTCCTCGGTTTCCCGACTTTTTTTCATCCGGCCGCAGTGTGCTTGCGTGGCAGCCTGCGTGCGTCATCGTAGGTTTTTTTTTTTTTTCTCGGACAGTCCAGCTGGACAGGTCGGCGTAAAATTTTTTCTCGGACAGGCCGGCGTGAAATTGCGTCGTAGAATTGAGGTTTTCAATACATTAGTTCTATGGGGGGTTTGCCGGGACCAATCCAATTTGTCGTAAAACGCGGGTCAACGCAGGACCGGGGGACGTATAATCGAAGTTCCTCTGTAATGCTTATTCATGACAACTGGTCAAGATTCGTTTACGTTTGGTGAAGGCTGATTTTGGCATTGTTTGGCACAGGAAGTATGTGGAGTTTACAGGGTCATCAATTGGGATCAAAATTATTGAATTAGGTCCTTTAATAATTGTGTTAGAACACAATGAGTGGCACAGCAGTATCAAAACAGGACAACTTCCCTCCAATTTGCGTAGGAAACGACGCCCAGATCACTGTGAAATACTGGCTCTGCTATGACTGCCGCTCTCTGGTTTAGCTGCAGTTCTTTCATACGGCAGGCCAATGTAATCAAGGAAAAAACATGTTACTTCGATCTTGCGGTATGCCGCCACTCACTTGGTTCCTTTCTCCTGCAGGAAGCAGCTGTTGCTTGCCGAGAGGGAATACAAGAAGAAGAAGGCCCAGAAGAAGGCTGTGCGCCTGAAGCAGATCGAGGAAGATCGAGAAAAGGAGAAGAACAAGTGGCAAGAGTTCAACTCAAAGGTGGGTTTATATGTGACATCAATGTGCGGCACTCACAGGTTAGAGCAGGACAATGGTAGGCTAAGCAACATGCATTGTTTCGTTTCCATCGTCTTCAGTTCGACTCACATTAGCGTAATTCGAGTCGAATGCGTGTATGAGAGCCAAAATTACCTTTAGAGACCAGATTCGTCACTACGTGACGTGGTTATTTCGAGCAGGTGCACATTGCAGTCTTTTTACTGAACAAGTTAATGTCGCATTTGAATTTTCGAGTAGTGTGCCACTTTGGGCACCAGTTAGTTCTATGGGACAAAAATGCATATTTAGTGCATTTTCTCATATCTCTTGTCTGGTAGCTAAAGTCAGGGTGTGGGTTATACATGACCCACACCCCGACTTAAACTTCAAACTTCCTGTATATTTTGCATGTGTTATACGTGAGAAAATAGATTCATTTGGAGTGCGGCCAAATAGGTACGAGTTGGTGGGAGTTCAACGCAAAATATAATGCATGCGCTTGCCGGGACCATAGAACAAGTCATCATCATTTAATCTTCGCAACTTTTGTCCTCTATCCATGAAATTTCGCTGCGAAGAAATTCTGTGACAACGAACTTTTTAGAGTATCCCATCAATTTCGCTGTAGCGGGATTTGAATTTAGACATGCAAAAAAAAAAAAAAAGAACGTAAACCTGCAGCAGAATGCAGAACAAGCCTTGCGCCCATAATAATAGATTGTGTGTGCAAGTTGGCTTCACGGTAATGCATGGAAGGGGGCCTCATCCATATGCAAGGTTTTTTTTTTTTTTTCCCGAGTCTCTCTCGCAGTTTGTAGGGGAGGATGCAAGTTAAACGCAGTGTGGATTATACGCAAGCAAATAAATACAAGTGCTCCTTTCAGTGCAGTATTTTATTTTTTTTAAACAACAGAAAAAAAAAGAGCTCAGGAAAAGTTGGCTTCTCTGCAAGTTTTGCACTTAACTTTGCTTGTAATGTCGTAGGTTTTGCAGGGAAAATATAACTGTTAGTGCCATCAGCGCACAAAAAGGATAACTAATATGCATGGACTCATCTGGATAATTTTTGTAAAGGAAAATAAAGATGCTCTGCTGTAGACGAGCTCAGTCAGTCTGTGCTAGTGGGCATGCAAAACATGAGGACATGCGGAGCTCATCTAAGATAGGCAACGTGCTAAACAGTGAACATGCACAGACTACATGAGTGTCCTTATGTAAATTTCAAAAATAGCTCTGCTGTAGACGAGCTCAGTCAGTCTGTGCTAGTGGGCATGCAAAACATGAGGACATGCGGAGATAGGCAACGTGCTAAACAGTGAACATGCACAGACTACATGAGTGTCCTTATGTAAATTTCAAAAATAGATGGATGCGATTGGTCTTGTCCTTGTTTTTGCAGGATTCGTATGAATATCAAAAGTCTCGTTCATAAATGCGTGCAAATGAAGGTTGCATCTTACACGAAAATAAGTGTTTTATATCCGAAAATTCGTTATAAAGGTATATTTTGAGCACTGTACCTGTTACAAGACTAATCCAGGTTTGTTTTGTCGAGGTCTGCACGTGTACGTTTGGGAATTAACCTTTAGATTAGGCTTGTGCGAATATTCGAATGCTTTGAATGTTCGAACGAATAGGTGTATATTAATCTGCATGTTACCACCTGTAAAGGTGGTTTCACTGCAATGTAGGGGTGCTAAGCAAAGAAAGAGTTTATCCTCAAAAATTTGTTTTGCCGTGAAGCTGCCCTTCAAATTTAAAGGGGCCCTGCAACACTCACCGAACATGGTCAGAAAACGCTGCCGATCGGTAGTAGAGGCTACTGAAAACACGTGAGGTGAATATTGTAGCGCAGCACGAGGCCTGTAATTCATAGTAAATTTTCAAAGTTAAAGATTGCTTTCTTTCCTTGGCAAATGACACTACCAGCTCAAAAATCACTTGTCACAGCCAAGAAGGAATATACAGCTCTGGTCACAAGCATTGACTGATTTGAGCATGGTGTGCTCGTCGATACCGGGGCGCCGCTTGTCCACCAGTACGTGCGCGATCGCACTGAAAAGTCGCGTATTCGGAGGGGAAAAAAAAAAAGGTTCTCAAGGTCACGAGGTGCGTGTAAAGTATTTACTTTCACCGTGCCATTCCACCCTGCTTAGCTTCCAGCTATTTTGTCGGGACGAGAGGAGAGAATGCAATTTCAGCGTGCGACAAATTTTTGGAACTCCGCTCGTACTGGACTGATTCTAGAAACTTTGCGACAGAAAATTTGTGAGGCAACAAGCATGTTTACTGGCTCTATGGATTCTTGAAAAAGTGTTTGTTGCAGGGCCCCTTTAAAGGAACATGTTACCCTCAAATCAATTCTTCATTTTATTAAGCTTATTATGTTGGCTTAAATGATCCAAGTATAATAAATTTTAAAACATCAAATATCTTGCAGGTTATCACTTTCATCCTACCGAAACTACTACTCAAGGTTGTTTCGACTTCCTTTGAACGAAAAAAAAAAAAAAAATTCCATTTGCATAGAGGTCCTATTTCAATTCTAAAGAAATATTGTGCAGGTTATTTGGGTCATGATAAATATTCCTTTTTTTTATATGTCATACACGCCATTCGAATTTGATAAGAAATTATTCGATGAAAATTACTATTCGCTTCGAACGAAAAAGTCACTATTCGCACCAGCCTACTTTAGATTACGACATGTTTTCCTCCAGGGTTCCTCGTGGAACAAAACATAGCTTGTTATGCTGGTTCAAATTGGCATTTCAAGCAGGTACGACGCAAGACCCTTGTGCTGATACTAGTGTGTGTGTACTTCACTGCATCGTCAGTGCGAAAGGTAGCCACTCACTTTTGCACTGCTGTTGCATTTTTCGGTGCACAGGCCTTCAACAAGAACAAGAAAGGTCAGGTGAAAAAGAGCATCTTCGCCTCGCCAGACAACGTCAATGGACGGGTTGGGGTGGGCACGTGCGGCATAGGAGGCCGGCCCATGACCGAGTTCCACCACCAGGAAAAGTGGCGCAAGCAAGCGGGTGCCTCGGGCAGCCAGGCTGGCACACCAATGCCCACGCCCGTTGGTGCTTCAGGGCTGGTGTCCCTGCCCACATTTACCATGCCATCTGGAATGCCCGGTCCTTCCATCTTTTGAGTGGCCAGACCTCCCTTTTCTTCTCGTTCTACTCCTAGCTGTGTAGAACTTAAGACGTGTTCGTTCGCATTGCCTTCCACATGGGGAAGCAAGGTGAGAAAAAACGAGAAGACTGCACGGTCCTTTTCACACTTTGGTCGTGCGCTGCCGTGTCGTTACCAGTCACAGCCCACAAGTTGCTTTCTGTCGTGCACCAACCTGTCTGTGTAAATATTGAAATGTCTTCAAACTGCCCAGTAAAAAAACTTGTGACATACTTTTCCAAGCTCGTTTGTTTTTTTTTTTTTCAACCTAATAACCACATACCTGCCAAGTATCCCGGATTGGCCGGGAGACTTCCATATTTCGACTGTTTCTTCCGTTTGTACGGTTGTCATGAAAATCTCCTGGAAATTGAAATTTCTGTGCGTGATCTGACTGCATTAGCAAGAAAGCAGCTCAGTCCACTCCAGGCTTTTCGAACCTACCCCATTTTATTATAAATGAGTTTAAGAGGCGCTCATCTAAACGCACAGTAGAATCTCAGTGATGCGAAACCGCGGCAAATATGAATTTGGGAAAATCTCCAGCCAAATTCCACTATGCCCATTGGGCCTAAATTCCAATTCTTCGAACGCGTTTACTAATCTCGGCAAGTGGTACTAACTTTAGTACGGAAACCATCGAACGAAGGTCAAGAGCAGCGTACGCCAAGATCTAGAAGTGCCCGTGCAACCGGCGCACGCACTGTCGAAGACCGTGCGTGTGACTGTCGTTGCCACAACCGCTGCGGACAAAACTGCAGTAGCTATTGACACAATCATGTATGGCGACGACGTAACTGACAGAACCCTGAAAGTGTGCGCTCCACCTGTCAAATCAACGCTGCCTTCTGCAAGCTCTGCGGGCAGAACTTCAACAGATGCGATTTTGGATCGCATAAAACTACTTAGTTTTGGCGCCTGCACATCCAAGTGCATGAGAATTGTGAAAAGAACTACCGTTTGCCGCAACCATCGCGCACAAAACCACGATCGTGGTGAAGCGATAGCGATCTACGAGTTCCGAGGACACGCAGCATAGATTAAAGGCCGTAAATACATAAAAAAAATCACTGTTTAGCCGTAAGGGCGAAGCAATGAATGCGACAGCAACAACTTAGAGTGTCGCGCTAAGAATGGCAAGCAGATTGTAACGTGCAGTGCACTACTCTCGCACAGATGACCCACGAAAACAATACACACAGGACAAGAGCAAACTAACGTTTACCGCTCGTCACGTAACGCATTACAGAGTGTGCAGTGGAAGTTGGAGGTACGGTACTTAGACAGGACACTGGCAAGCTGTCCCAGGAGACGAAGAACCTAATTAAAAAGCGTCAAAGCATGAACATCTCAAGTACAACAGGCAAAATAGAACAGGCAGAGCTTTCGAAGTTGATTAGTAAGCGTAAGGTATTCGGTGTAAGAAGGTATAACATGGAGAGAATTGAACACGCTCTGAAAAACACAGGAAGCGTCAAAGCAGTGAAGAGGAAACTTGGGATAGGCAGAAATCAGATGTATGCACTAAGGGACAAAGAAGGCAAAATAACTACCAATATGGATAGGATCGTTAAAATAGCAGAGGAGTTTTACAGAGACCTGTAGAGTAGCTGGGACAACGCCGACCTTAATATTATAAGAATTATCAGTAACCCAGATGACACCCCACCAGTAATGATAGAAGTCAAAAAAGCCTTGGAGAGCGTGCAAAGAGGTAAAGCTGCTGGTGAGGATCAGGCAACATCAGATCTGCTAAAAGATGGAGGACAGATTGTGCTAGAAAAACTAGCCACCCTGTTTACGAGGTGTCTCCTGACTGGAAGAATACCAGAGTCTTGGAAGAATGCTAACATCATCTTAATACATGAGAAAGGAGATGACAAGGACTTGAAGAATTACAGGCCGATCAGCTTGCTCTCTCTAGTATACAAACAAGCTATCTACAAAGGTAATTGCTAACAGAGTAAAGAAACCATTAGAATTCAATCAACCAAAGGAACAAGCAGGATTTTGAACAGGCTACTCAACAATTGACCACATTCATACTATCAATCAGGTAATAGAGAAATGCTCAGAATATGGCCAACCACTATACATAGCCTTCATAGATTACGAGAAGGCGTTTGATTCAGTAGAAATACCAGTCGTCATGCAGACACTGCAGAATCGGAGGGTCGAGGAAGTATATATAAACATTCTAGAAGAAATATACGGGGGATCAATTGCTACCACTATGCTTCATAAAGAAAGCAAGAGAATACCAATCAAGAAGGGTGTAAGGCAGAGAGACACAATCTCCCCAATGCTATTTACTGCGTGCTTACAGGAGGTTTTCAAAAGCCTAGAATGGGAACAATTAGCGATAAAAGTTAATGGGGAGTACCTTAGTAACCTGCGCTTCGCCGATAACATTGCATTGCTGAGTGATTCGGGGGAACGAATTGCAACTCATGATTACGGAGTTAGACAAGGAGAGCAGAAAGGTGGGTATTAAAATTAATCTGCAGAAAACTAAGGTAATGTATAACAACCTCAGAAGAGAGCAGTGCTTCAAGATAGGTAGTAGTGCACTTCAAGTTGTAAAACACGGTCTACTTAGGGCAGGTAATAACCGTGGAGCCGAACCACGAGATTGAAGTAACTAGAAGAATAAGAATGGGGTGGAGCACATTTGGCAAGCACTCTCAAATTATGACAGGTAGATTGCTACTATCCCTCAAGAGGAAGGTATATTACAGCTGCATCTTGCCGGCACTTAGCTATCGAGCAGAAACCTGGAAACTTACAAAGAGGGTTCAGCTTAAACTGAGGACGACCCAGCGAGCAATGGAAAGAAAATGGTAGGTGTAACTTTAAGAGACAAGAAGAGAGCAGAGGGGATTAGGGAACGAAACGGGGGCTAAGGTTATCATAGTTGAAATTAAGAAGGGGAAATGGACATGGGCCGGGCACGTAGCGCGTTGACAGGATAACCGCTGGTCATTAAGGGTAACTAACTGGATTCCCAGAGAAGGCAAGTGGGTTAGGTGGAGACGGGAGGTTAGGTGGGCAGATGAGATTAAGAAGTTTGCAGGTATAAATTGGCAGCAGCAAGTGCAGGACCGAGTTGACTGGCGGAACATGAGAGGGACCTATGTCCTGCAGTGGACGTAGTCAGGCTGATGATGATGATGAGGTAACGTAACGCATTGTTTAAACAAAAATGATGTACGATACGTAATCACAGGTACTGATGAATACAGCCTAACAAGCTTCCCAGTTGTTATACCTCGCTCTGTATGAAAAGCGTGCTTTTTTCGCAACCGGGCCTGTGCAAAGACCGAAGTGACCTTTGTGGACTCCGCAAATAACGCAATCGTCGCAGTAAAAGCTGAAGGCACACGATTCTCCCCATCAAAGGATAAGCGCGCGTGCACAAGCATCTAAATCCCCCCCCCATCTATGGGGCAAAGTACGCGTGAAAGATGAGGGCGTGACGCTTTTTTTTTTAAGTGTTCATATACATATATACATATATATATATATAGATACGTATAAATATGGTGAATGACGGCAGCAACGGCAAAAAAACCAGCCCAGACGGTCCATATAATTTCTATCGTAGTAAATAAAAAGGGCCAGATGCATTTTGGCATTCCTGTCAAAAGTAAGAATCTAGTAGCGAGCACAGCTTTGACTAGCGCTTTTGCGGTAGCCAGCTGCGCCATCCTGTCCGTTCACGTGTGTCCCGGGAACACATAAGCAAGTTGTATTGATGGGGATTTTGTTAGTTGTGTTGATCCTTTGAGACTTCCACCTTGGTGGGAAATGCTACCCTTGTGTATTCGGCCGCTCCAAGCCATCATAAGACTGCAACGCTGATGATGGCGCTTGTAATTGAGACCCTCCTCCCTTTGCTTTTCGCGATGTTTGTTTGTCTTCTGGATTTTTTTTTGGTGCCGAAAAAAACTAGGGGCAAATAATTTAGCCTCCCCCCCTCCTGGTTGTGTAAATCTTCCAGATTGAGAATCCTTGAACTTGGCAGGTATGTAACCAGTATCAGCAGTTTGAAAATGGCTATATGGCGGCGTTTTCATTGTTTTGATGTCAGTAGCAGGAGTGGAAGTGTTGCGCCAATCCTGACCTGGTGGGCCTAAACGGCAATGTGCATGTGCAATGCAAAATTTTGTCGAGTTTTATCAGTGACCAAGCAACATGCATGGGATACACTGAGGAAGCAACCGCATCCATATCCAACGTGGATTGGTCGGTCGTATTACGGTTCATGCATGAATCTTGCGCCACGTGAACAACATACACGAATCTCGTTACAGTGGTGTTTAAGTGCATATGAAACTATATACATTTTAACAGCAAAGCTGTTAGGCTATAAAGACGGCAGTGGTGCTGCAATAAACTCGTCGCACCATTGCGGAGCTACTGCTAAGCACAGCATGCGCCCTGTGATGGAGACCATTGAACCACATTAATTGAACAAATCAAAATAAGTTCCACCTGTTCGATCCCGCTACCTGCGGGCAAGTAGCTAGACCTCCGTGGCTGGTTAGTCACTAGACCTCCGTGGCTGGTGACAAAACTTGATGAAACCATTTCGTGGTCCGTTTAAGCTTCGTTGTGTACTCTCATTCTGCCGTCTTCGAAACAAGGACACTGTGGTCACGTATTGCACACAAGGCAGTATTTTTCCCCTTCACTTACTTTTACGAAAGGATGTGTTGAAATATCTATGGGAAAGGAACTATAGTGAACTAGAATATGATCTAGTGGCGTGACCGGCAGGCTGAGGCTGCTGTCTTGGTGGTTTAAAACAACATGGACGGCCACTAGGATTTCTCGCGGCGCTGCTGCGCCTTCTCATGTCGTGTGCGTGAGGCGAGGGCGTGCCAGCAGCGGCATCTTCTTTGGACAGCGCAGAAGTCAATAGTGCGAGTGCGTGAGTATATGTGCAAGTTGGGTGCCTTGAGCTACCGCCAACTGAAGAATTGTCAAGGCCGGTAAACTCTACTGCATATGTCAACGAGCTGACGACGTCCGCATTCGGTGGCGCGTTCACATCAGCGTTGCAGTCCCTGACACATTATTGCGCTTCGACGAGAAACAACGAATGTTGCATCATTCTCTGTGTGCCATCGGGCTCTTCGGAATTGTGATGTGTGCTGCTTGTGGTTGTGCACGTGTTCATTGGTGAGTGACCAGATTGTGAGCAGCTGTGGTGCCAAGGAAGGGTTGTGTCCACATT